TCCAATTTGCCATTTTTTTCATCTACGAACAAAGATACGATAGAAACTTTCTGCGTTAGCTGATTTTGGATCCATTTTCGGACCACTTTTGCATGCTTAAGGGACACCGTGCCGTAGATATATTATGATACCAGGTGCCCGCTATCCCTACGCACCTACGCCTACCTCTTGTTCTTTTTGTACGATTGTCTTCATAAAATTGAAATTTGTCTATTATCGGAATCATAAAACCAATGATACATTTGTATTTACAGCTGACAGAAAAATCGTTCTAATGCGGAAACTCTTACAAATATGTCATATGGTCAATCACCATATATGGGTGTTCAAAATTAAATGGTTTTTATTTTTTTTCTATACAAAATGTTGCACAAAAAAATATCTGTTTACGTGCGTAAAAAGTATAATATTATACATACGCACATAAGTATGCATATATTAGCGCGATAAAATGGGTTGTAGTCTTGACAGGAAATCAATGAATAAATAATGTCACCGGCGACATTTTTTTAAATCTTCGACAACATTCACGCAATAAGAATGGTGGAATCAGGGAAAAAGTAAAGACTGAAATATCAGAAAATGTGCTGCAGGACTGAATTTTATTTGCATTAATGTAGTACAGCTCAAAAAATAATTTTCTGGTTTAATAATAAATAAGTGAACGAAAAACCTTTTTTTCAGGCGGCAAAGAAATATCAAACAATAAACGAATAAATTTTACCATATGAATGTTGGTCTAGTAGTGATATGTTTGTGGAAATAAAATAATAATAATCACTAAAACTGCGACTAAATATGGTATTGTAGAACTTGGAAGTTCTGTTGATTATAATTTATGGAGTAGGTCCATTTTTTTTACATAAATGTTTGTAATTGATTTTCCAGAAAATTATCATTTTTCTGTAATCAGTACGCAAATATCATTACACTAACCACAATTATTGTTGAATGATGACAATCTATAATTCATAAATGTGAATATTTTCTCTTAACAAAATATTTTTTGTTACATATTTATAACTGTTTAACTAGTCAGAAAGATTGCAATTCATGTTGTACATTTTTTTTATTTAAATTAATTTAAAAATACAATAACTCTCAGAAGCAGTTATGAAAATAAAGAAATAGCGCTTAATTGTTGCGTCAATAACTCTAATGATAAATTCTGCATTTTGACTCCCTCCTACAACTGGTCTGCAATTTCATTATTAATCCTAAAATTCGCAATTAAATTTAAATTGTCTTGAATATCTAAATCCTATCGGAATTAATGAAAAATTTTTTGGAATTTGCTTTGTGTTTTCCTCATTAAATAAAACACCTAAACACTGCTAGTGGTCACAAACTTTCATTGGAGCAAAACGGTGTCGAAATAGTTTCAGAAAGTAAGAAAAATTAACTTAAATAATATTAATGTTATATTTACTGATATACAGGGTGTCTCATAATTAGCTGCCAACCCTGAACAGGCCGATTCTATGATCAAAACTAAGTGAAAAAGTTCATATGAACATGGGTCCGGAAATGCTTCCTAAGGGCACAGGGACCCATTGAAGAGGGAGGAATGGAAATCATTTTTTTGCAATATCTCTCAATCGCGTTGTGATAAATGAATGAAATTTGGTATACACAGCTAAATTTTGATGAGCAATTTGATGGACTAATCCATTTATTTCCACAAGGTCCATTGGGGTGGGTACGGGGGGGCCCTTGGTACTTTGCGTGTGTAACTTTTTCATCTTTGACTTTTTAACAAATTGGACAGCAAATTCCGTTTTCCCGAACTGTTTTACGTTAAAAAGGTACTCTTGTTTCAAATCGTTATCTTTAACGGTTTCTGAGAAAATCGCTCTTGAATTAATCCCACTTTGGTCAATTTCATAGTAATTTAAACAAAAAAAAATAATAATAATTTTCCTTTCCTCTCTTTTCCATTTAAAGGATTAATTTTTATTTAATTTAATTTTTTATTATTATTTTTTTATTAAAATTAGATTAAATTTAAACAAAAAAATTTTTTTTGTTTAAATTACTATGAAATTGACCAAAGTGGGATTAATTCAAGAGCGATTTTCTCAGAAACCGTTAAAGATAACGATTTGAAACAAGAGTACCTTTTTAACGTAAAACAGTTCGGGAAAACGGAATTTGCTGTCCAATTTGTTAAAAAGTCAAAGATGAAAAAGTTACACACGCAAAGTACCAAGGGCCCCCCCGTACCCACCCCAATGGACCTTGTGGAAATAAATGGATTAGTCCATCAAATTGCTCATCAAAATTTAGCTGTGTATACCAAATTTCATTCATTTATCACAACGCGATTGAGAGATATTGCAAAAAAATGATTTCCATTCCTCCACCTTCAATGGGTCCCTGTGCCCTTAGGAAGCATTTCCGGACCCATGTTCATATGAACTAACTACTTAGTTTTGATCATAGAATCGGCCTGTTCAGGGTTGGCAGCTAATTATGAGACACCCTGTACATATACCGACTTTTCAAAAGCCTTTGATCGGATAAATCACAGCATATTAGCAGATAAATCAAATTATATTGAGTTCTTTATTAAATTTGTTTACATCGTATCTAAAAAACGGAAGGACTATAAGCGTGTATTAAAGTATTAAATAAAACAAAACCTAGTTACCAATTTCAGGAGTCCCGTAAGGGTCGAATTTAGGTCTGTTGCTATTTATTATATTTATTAACGATACGTAGACTACAGCAATCTTTTATTTGCTGATGACTTCAATAAATCTGTAATACTCATAATTTACAATGTACTGGGTTGTAGATTAGAAATTGTGAGTTTCAGTAATATTAAAACACTGAAGACTTTGTATTTTTCTCTGATACTTTCTAAGATAAAAATGATGTGTTTTCTATACATATTAATTATTTATTTGAATGATGATACTATTTTCTGCTATTTAAAGCTAATTTTAAAATAATTTTGAATCACGTCAAAATGAATCATTTGATGGTGCTAAAAGTCGAATATATGTACTTAAAAAGTATTTTGTTCATTCTATAATGTGCGCTTATAATGTTTTGTGTATTTTAATAATTATGTTAGTAAATTGAAAAGACTGCAAAACGTTAAATAAATTCTTAAATCCTATCTTTTCTTAAATTTTGCGTTATACCTATTTGTTTTGTTTTACTTTAATGGGGCAAATTTTAGCCGACGACCTATTTCGACTTTTAATGAGCCATGGTGTCAAAATTCATAATTATTTTCCTTCAACCCGTTTCGGAAATACTTAAAAAAAAAAAAGAATTTTCTGAGGCCCCATTTAGGGGGCGTAGTTCCCTTAGGAAGCATTTCTCGACCCATGTTTATATAAAAAAAATATTCTTATTTTTGGCAATAGAATCAAATGGTAACTTATTGGACACTAATTATGAGACACCTTGTATATAAGTATTTGCATAATAGTATGAAACAAAAAGGGGCAGTTTCTATTTTTCAACACTAAATGCTTCACATGGAACTTACCATAAAATATCCCTACAATATTTGTTGAGATAGAATTTCAAGAAAAGAGTAAGCCAATAAAGTTGTGTTATCGGAACTACTATAACAATTTACCGCGGCAGGGGAAGCATCAACTACTTCACAGCAATCCCACTATCGGCGTCATTGTACAATAACATGTACATGTCTGTCTCTGATCTAAAGTTTCGCATCGATCAATTTATTCGATACGTATTGCACCCTAATGCCTGCGTTGTCGGCTTGGCGTCAGCGTCTTTTTGCTGTGACATTGGCCGTGCATTTCATTGTCGTTTGTGCGTGTGTAGGTTTGACGCTTTGCCTGGTCGAGTGTCTGGCACGTGTTTTTTTGTGGCACTCATTAGTGAGCATACGGCTTGATCACAGATTTAACCTATTTCTGCCGCGTACTACAGTAGGATAAAATTCGATGCAAAGTAATAAATCATTGCCTGTCGCGCGATCCAGTGCAATACGGTTTTAAGGGGTTTAGAAATTGAATAATTTCTTTATGTATTACGAAGAGATGAAGGGATCAGTTCACGTCTGGCACCCTTGTTCCTACAAAAATTCCTTTATTCTCATAAACTATTTATTTTAAATGTAATTTATTATAAATCCAATTTGTTTTTTAAATTTCATATATGTACTACCTTTTACCTCTGCACGCGCCACTATTGTTTACTTGTTTTTTGGAGGCGGTCTCTGATTTACGACCAAGCTCGCCAGGTTAGTATTTGACGTATAACCGACCACTTCGTACACTCGATGCACCTGGGCGATTACAGCTACTACCATAACACAGTGCCTATGCAGCGGTATTTCAGATTTTACATTCAATTTCATTTTAAATTTGAAATGGTTCATCTTACGCCTCCTAAAAATGATGACACGATTTTCCTTTGATGAAAGACCGACAACTTTTTGCTCTACTTTGCATCGAATACGATCCTACTATAGTTACAAATCGAATGAATCATGATTATTATTGTAAAAATCGGAAAATTCGCCAAAAACGGGGTTAAAAAACAGTACCTTTTAGGGATTTTCGCTACACGAGTCAGATGAAACTTCACGCGATGGGACTAGAAAAGTACAAGGTTATTGGTTATGAATGTCGCCCCACCTAAACTAACTTAACCAATCGTCGCGTGAAGCCTTGATTGACACGTGGAGTATATTGTACTCTAATCGGAAGTTTAAAAATATAATATAAATATGTTTAAGGAAGAAATCCGTAAATTTATCATTCCGAATCATTATGTGGTCGGTAGCGTGTGCAGAAATATTAAGACGTCTAAGTTCAGAAGTAAAAATATCCATCAAGGATTAAAAAAAACTAATATCGAATGTTTTGCCGGCACTCCAACAGTCGTCCCAGAAATCCGGACACCCATTCAAACGTATAAATATTCACCCCAAGAGCGGAATGTAATATACCATTTCTTCCGTCTTATCCCGTGTTGATCTAGAGTATGTAATGTGAACGATATTATTCCAGAATTCATCGTCTCTACCTTGGGCGACGGACCGTCCGGAAACTCGGGAGGACGGCTTATCGTCGCCCCCGGCCAAGAGGGCCAGGAGTTCGGAGCGCGGCAGTTTCACCCCGGACAGGGGGAGGAGCCCCTCCAGGGGGAACGGAGACATGCAGGAGTCGCTCCTAGGACAGGCCCTGGAGGGCGGCCCCACAATACTCACGAAGGAGGTATGTGAATAGCAGGTCGACCCGAATAGGTTCGATTAGTTCGAAGGTACAGGGCGGACGGCGGAATTTATGTACGGCCGCTTTTTATTTATTCACGAAAGAGAGAAATGAACAGTTTCACATTAAAACATTAATGTGAAACTGTTCATTTCTGCCCGAATGGTAAAAGCAGAGGATTCTACATCTCACCAGCTTTTTTATTTTCACTGATGTTCCCATTTACAAAAGTTCATTATTTTTTTGTAAGTATTTTGCCACACTATAAATAATAAATTAAAAGAAAGTAAATATATCTCTGCGGCCCAAAGATCAGTCTAACAAACTTATTTTTGCCTACAATTTTGAAATCACACGATAAAGACTCGCATATCACTATAAAAACAGTTTTAATAATGTATTTTGCTGAAGTGTCGAATGATTTCTATCATTAATTTTCAGGTCTACAGGGTGAGCCATTAGTGTGAGAAAGTAAAATAACCCTTGTTACTCGTAATACAGAAAAAAAGTTTAATTTAAAATATACAGAGCGATGAGTAGAAACGGGATACGCCAAATATTACTTTTTTAACTGGAACAGCCTGTAATATACAGGGTGTTCCAGTTTAAACATATGGATTTCCGAGAAAATTCTATATATGGCAATATAAACAGTTTATCATTTTAGTGCGGGGTTGCCAAGTTATGTAGTTAATTCTTTGAATTTTGGAAAAAACATGACCCTACAATAAGTTGTATTAACTTTCAGCTACTAAAACTTGGAACAAAATAATTATACAGAGTTGTAGGCATATTAGGTAATATCCATATTTTATCTAGGGCATTTTTTATAATACGATCATTTTAGAAAGTTCAAATTTGATTTTCTAAAATTTGGAACTTGGAATTTGGAATTTCTAAAAGGAACACCCTGTATTTTATTGTTCCATTTTATTCACATATCGATCTACTTCAACTTTTATTAAGCATGTTCTATATCTAAAATTGTTAGTTTTTAAAATATAGCAACATTTCTGAAAACACTTAATTTTTATTATTTTGCAGAATACCACAAATAAATATTAATTAATAAAATTAACTCAAAATGGAATGATAAACTATGAACTGACAAGTTGACACAATGTGACAGTTTTTTCCAAAGCCATTTCGTGCGACCAAAAATAACAAAAATTAGGTTTTTCCAGAAATGTTGCCATATCCTAAAAACTAACAACTGTAGTATGTACTTAATAAAAGTTGAACTGTTGAACATGTTTTTTCCAAAATTCAAAGAATTTTCTACATAACCATAACTTGGCAACCCCGCACTAAAATGCTAAACTGTTTATATTGCCATATATAGAATTTTCTCGGAAATCCATATGTTTAAAAATATACAGGATGTTCCATTTAAAAAATGTGTCCCGTTTTTACTCATCGCCCTATAGGTTTTTAATTAATTTAGTCCTCTAGATTTTTTAATTCTGCACAACATTTATATAAACTTTTTTCTGTATTATGAATACCAAGGAACTTATTTTACTTTCTCACACTAATGGCCCACCCTCTATATACCGTGTTTTTATAACGTTTTCAAATTTTATTGACAAATAACGATAAAAACGATTGTTTTGATATAACTAAATGTTATTTTAGTCATAGACATCCGATTCTAAAATTAAAAAGTGATGAACATTTTCATAAAAATATATTAGATAGCGATTTTTTTTCTGAAAGTTAATATTCTCGCAGAAATCTTTCTCTACCAAACTGAAATGAAATGTCTATAAGAGTGCTCAAAATTTGGGTACAACATTTGGGTACTTTTATTTTTTTTACTTGAAATCTATTAAAGTTAGATACGTTTTCCCTTTCACTATTTATTTTTTATAAAGCTCTTTAGCTATTAAACTAGATTTTTTTCTCTAGCCGGCCAAATAGTGTAGAAATTTATATACACTTGGTATTTTCATATTTACTAAAAATATTCACAACACGGCAAAAGAACAAACCAAATAATATAATAACATTAAATAATAACACAACCCCATAAAAAAAAGTTCTATACCAGAGACATAGATCTTGTGTATTTTTTGATGCTGAATCTTAATCCGTAGCCCAAAAACCGATCTACCATGACGTTTTTTAGTAAAACGCTAAAATATCCCCTAAAATAGGTTGAAACAGTGAGAATAAGGTAAAGCTTTATAATGAAAAGCAACAATTTATAAATACTTTCCAGAAAACATTTTAAAATAATATTTTGGCATTGGAAATATATGCAAATTAAATCTACACCCACCCCTGCGAGGGGGTTAATTCTACGCCTCAGATCAAATAACCAATTTTAGCGCAATACAGTGTGAAAAGTCATAGCCTATTTTATATTACCAAATATATAAATATAGGTTAATAGACAACATAGGTATCAACAAAATATAACTTATCCCTCTAATGGTTGGAATCCCCCTACAAATCAGGGTCCCACTTACCTTTAAGTCACACATTTGTCTATTCAATATTTTTGCCTGAATTTTGTTAGTGTGGGTTTTTGGGGTCGCTGATTACGAATCCGAAAATTTTCGAATTAAAACCTTATATTCGTGATTGGTAACTTTGAAAACCACCAAGTAACACGTTTCAGCCATAAATCTTCAAATTATGAATTATTTTCTGACTTTTACATCCGCCATATTGGATAAGCCATCTTTTATTCAGAAATGCGTGCTTAATTTTATTTTTAAATCTTCTTCAATACTAATCTTATCCTTATAAATTGCCTTCTGAACTTGACTTCTATGACCTATCCATTTGGGGGGGGGAGTGTGTGTTATCACATCACTGTTAGTTTTACATTATGAGAAAATATAGAAAAAAAATGTGGGTTAATTATAATGGAGATAACTATTTAGTTATTTAATGTTTTAACTAATGTAAATATTTTTTATAAATATGATAGAGACTGGTAAGTTCCTTTAACTAATGTTTGGTTTATCTAACTAATAGTTTTTAAGTTATAATTACGCTAAAGTAAACAAACAAAGCACTTTTAAAGATATTTCATTCAAATGTGGTAGATAAAGGTTTCTGGGCATGCTAAATTAGAATACAACGTTAATTTTTTTAAAGACCATCTATTTATTAATTTTGAAATTGTATACCTATGACCAAAATCAAATTCAGTTATATCAGAAAAATAAACATCAGATTAGTACTTAAAGGTACACCCTGTATAATGCTACAGTATTTATTAACGAATTTATCATCTGATATAGATTTCTTTTCTAATTCAGTTGCCGATTAAATATGTAAAGCCTGTATCAGACAATGAAATTTTGTTCCGGGGATTTGGTTGCCGTGACGCAATTCTGTCCCGGCAACTGAATTGCATGAATTAGAACATGCTCTATTCCGTGCAACAAAATTGCATGGAGCATGGATTCTAGTTACCTATTCTTATGAAAATTTGTTCATTACCAGCCTAGTTGTTGTTGGTTGTTGGTCATGGTTGTTGTTAGTAACACTGTTAAAGCCACTATTGAAGCTATACAGCAATTTACTTTTGAATTTTCACCCATTGCAATGTTTTACTTGAATACAAAATAATTTTTTACAAGATACATACAAGAAATTTTACATGCTAATCAATGAACAGTAACACTACTGCAAACTAAACAAATTGAAGTAATTCTGTTCCATTGTGTGATGATAAGCATGCAATTTTATCCCCGCAACAAAATCCTCTGATACAGGCTTGAGACACTTACACTTAACTACGAAGATAAATTTCTTAATTTTTATACTTTACCTTAAAAATTATTAAGCTTATTCGAATAAAGTCTAAAAAATGTTCTTAAAACTCCTGTCTGATAAAGTAATGTATATCCCTTGACGTCAATATCAAAAAAATATCAACAATGAACCTTTGGAAATAACATTAAGTACCTGATAAAATTTGTGTGCATTCATTTAATAATATGAATGCACTGCATATTCCTTTGAAGAGTATTTGAGTAGGTTTAAACAATCATAAAAATAGAAAAGTTATTGAGGAGTTCCAGTGAAAGGTGAATTACAATTATATGTAGGTACAAGAATTTTTATAGTTATTTATGAATAAATATGAATATTTATAGGAAATTGTATAGTAAATTATTCTGAAAACGAAAACCATATAAAGATGTGGTTTGAGGTTTTTTCGCAAATTTTATCTAAAATAAATGAACTTAACCTTATTATCGAAGTGTAGTATGAAACTTTTTCACCTCTAAATATTTCTGGATTGAAAACTGTAAATTTTTAAAAATAATATACATTTTTTATGATACGGTTAAGCCAGTTTAATTTAAATTATATGAAGGTGTGCCTCTTGTATTGCAAATATATTGAAATTATCATTATTTAACGTACTAAACTGAATAATAAAATTATTTTATTTTATAAATATCTTCAAACACAAACATAAAAGACATGACATTTGAATGAACATTTCTTGAATGAACTTGAACCATATCGAAATACTTAACACTAAAATGATTCTATTTTCGTTTTTGTTTTTTCATTTCGCATTAAATTTCAATGAAAGGACCCTAACAACACATACCAACCATTATTATTCGACTTTTTTTATATGTAGAAAGGCAATTCAGATTCGTCGATACAAGCCCAATCGACGGGAGAAGATAGCAATAGCAGCGACACAGCCATAAGCGAACACGTCGATGAACCTGTAACCCCAAAGACTGAACCCTCCGACTACCCCATGTTAGACGATCATCACCCGTTTAGCACCAACGGCGGCATCATGGACCCGTCGAGGACGCCCGGGGGCTTCCCAGGGGCGCTATTAGGACTGCAAGGTTGGTGCACTTACTTTTGACAAATTATGCTTTTTTGGCATGCCTCCCCGTGCGGCTTTACAGTGTGTGTTCAAACTTCAATCGCCACAAAAATGATCACGTAAAATGGGTCAAGTTTGTGCAGTAAAGCAAAAACAGCCAATATCCAATGAAGCATTTTTCTTTATTTTTGGTGTTTTACCACCGTGAACAAAATTTAAAAAATTTATGACTAACTGCATCAAAAGCATCAGTCAAGGGTTATTTTTTATTAAAATAGTTTTGCCTAATCACGCTGAAATAAGCAAACAAATAGCAAATACAAAATACACATCACAGAAAGTTGTTGACGTTTCGAAAAATCAATGTGTTTTTATCATCTGAACTTATAATTTTTCGTTTTTAATTTTTTAATTGTTGACAGTTTAAATTTGGTTTTGCTTGTTTCCATAGTTAGAGATATCGTATGATGTTTATTCTATCATCTTCATCTTTTAGCATTTCTGGCAACAAGGATTCAAGTTCACATCAGAGTAGTTTGAAACAGATCATTTATCGTTTATCTTTTAATTTTCTTTTAACGGTATTGAAAAAAACTGTAGAGAATGATTTGTCTTATGTAAAAGATTGGTTCAGTTACAAACTATTAACTATTGACAATTAACCTGGAAAAGACGAGCTACTTGCCTTTTACATGCAATAAGTCAGTTTCCCCATCTTTTCATTATCTGAATTTAGAAAGCCAGGATCATACAATTAGAATCTTACCTGCAACGAAAATAAAATATTTAGGTGTTTTTATAGATTGCCATTTAAGATGGGATATACATAGAAATTATGTTATAAAGAAGCTTCAGTCCATTTTATGTATCTTTAAGTATCTCTGTAGGATGTTATCTAGACAATATCTAAAAATGGTTTATCATGCTTTAATACAGAAGCATATGAATTACGTTGTACTATCTTGGGATTCAGCGATTAGTAGTCACATTGAGCCACTCACAATTCTACGAAAAAGATTTTTAAAGACGATGTTGCAAAAAGAATTAACTTACCCTAGTAGGTAATGAATTCTACCTTGAAGTCAAAGTCTTCAATATAAGACAACTTTATTACTACAACTGTGTTTGTAGATATCATTATACTGATAATAAGCATAAAATATCTCACAACTATGAAACCAGAAGAAAACAAAAGTACTTATCTCCTTTTATGCAAAAAAATTTGAGCCAAACATCACTACTATATTTAGCACCTAAACTATATAACACTGTACCTGATTTCTTGAAAGTGGACAATCTATCAATTCAAGAGGAAAATTAAAATGTACATATTAGAAACTGATACAGGCTTTACATATTTAATCCGAATTGACTCATTCCGTAAACATATACAATTTTTTCTTCTCCGTATATTTATGTAGGTATTTCTTTCCTGTTTTGTTTTATTATACATGTTTGATGTCTTTAAAATTTACAAAATGGAAAATGTTTCTAATATAAAATGTATTTCATTCAAGATATACTATAGGTAAATGTAGCTTTTTAGAGTTTTAAATATCATTATTTGGGCACGACTGACAAAAAAAGTCCTTAAAAGTAGTTGTCTGAAATAGGCAAAAACAAACAAATTTATCTTCTCAGAAATAATTAAAAATGAAATCAAATTTATTTTGGAAAAGTCAAGTTTTTAGAGTGCGCTAATCATAATGATATATATTTTGTACATGTCTCTTTTTTTAACTAGATGTTTAGTTATGCAAAACTATTTTCATAAAAATAACCCTCGGCTAATACCTTTGGGCGCAAGAATTTATTTAATAAATTTTTCATATTTTGTTCACAGATAGCAAAATACCCGATAAATAAATTAAAAAAAAAATAGGCCATAAATAAGTGCCTTCAGACACAGATAACGCCTTGGTTTGCTTCATAAAAAGGACCATTACGTTGACCGACGGTAACTTGTAATAAATTAAAAAATTTCAATATGGAGCTGTTGAAGCCATTTTGTAGTGATGCCTAATTGACTGATCATTTAAAAATCGATTAATTTTGGTCATCGATCCAGTGTCAAAGTGATACTCACTGTTTTTTCGACTTTAATAGAATTGTGCATTTTAAAATTCTTACGTCAAGGTGAAACAGTGAACTGTGTAATATCAAGGCGTTTTACAACGTGAAAAAATCGGCAAAAAGAAACAATAATATATATAAAATTAAAAATGTTTAAAAAAATAAAATTGTTATTTTATGAACAGGCCTCCTATAATACAAAATTATTAAACTACAGAAAAGATAATTTGAACTATCAACATTTGCACAATTTCTATTAAAAACCCAGTTAAAAATGTGTTAGAAATAAGATAAACATAAACACAAAACGAAACGAATTTTCTCGAAAATTAGCAACAAGGTGCATTTAAATTTTATTTTAAATTAAACCTAATTTAAATAAATAAAAAGTATTTTCCTAAAAATCTGATTAAATGAATATCAAAAAATCTCAAAATGAATAACAAATATTATTTTTACTAGATATGCTGGTATAAATCAATGATGATCGGGAAAAGTAACCCGCAGAGTAATTTTTCCATCAATATTATCAGTTAAGACTCTTGTATGTCAGATATCTTTTCCATACTTATTTTTTTGGTATCCTTCAATACAGGACCTGATAATGAAACATATATTTTTAAAAAACAAAATCAATATCAAAAATGGCATACTTATTAAATATTACATAAAAATAAGTACACAATCAAGTAACAGATGATTTTTCGCATGCTGAAAATCCGAGATAACATAACCTTTGCAGCGCCCCTAAATAAGCATTAGAAACTTAGATATTGCTTCAGATCCCCCGAAACGCTTGACTGTGCTGAAAATGTGGTAAAAAATCAACCAAGGTTTCATTGAGCGCATGTAGCTGTCGATCTGAGAGGATCTGCGGAGTGTCCACTGGCATCATTAGCTACGGCTAATGGAAGACCTTTTTCCTTACAAACTATTCGTAGGTCCAGATGACTGAAAGAGAAGTTATTCTGTCTTTGTTACGTAACGAAATGATCGCTAAGTGCAATTTTCTACAAGAAATAGTAAGAGGATAATTTTTAATACAGTTGAATCCTATTAATAATAATTTCACAATCGTAAAAAAGTAATCACAATGTATATGTCCAAATTTCACAAAATTTGTTCCTGTCGCGATTTTAGAAATTGTGTGAATTTTCCGTATCTTAAAAGATTCTGGTTTACAAAATTTTCAAAGTCTGCTTGACTCTGTTGTCAAACGAATTGTACAATTTTTCGTCATTTGAAATACATAATAAAAGGGCTATAAATGTCATCAGAGAAAAAATTTGGGTAAAGTTCTTTTTCCGTACGTATGAACCCCTTTTCTTATCAGAAGTCAGCAAATGGTTGTTTATCTGGCATAATGGGGCGATTTTAATTTTTTTAATCTGCTTCGTGTTAAAATTACTTCGGGGGTAATGCGTTACGCCGAATAAATAAATTTTATCAGTTACTTTACCTGATTTTTCACGTGAACGTGAAATTTCAAGTGCGTAAATATTATTGCTTGACCCCAAGGCATTATCATCCAGATTTTATCAGAACTAAATAAATTGTAGCGAAAGGAAATTTATGTAAATGCGCTAAACGTGGTTAAATTTATGGCCCATAACCCTCTTTGTTTGTATTTAATTATATCACGTTAATAAAACCCGAAGAGTAATACGGAAAAATATTTTTCATTTGAGATTTTACCGTGAAGACAGAAACAAGCTTTTAATAATGTCACTGCCCTCGTGTACAAATTAGGAATTGAGTAAATAAATTAAAAATGCATGGATTTACTTTATTATAAGACAAAAATTGTCATGTAATGAGAATATATGCACCAGTTGAAAATAGCTGATTTTACCTAAGAAGATTCATGAATTACTGTGTTAAGAAAGAGTAAAGATTCAATACATATTTTAATAAGTAATAAATATTTTCAATATCTTACAAAAATAAATCAACCGAGGCAACTGTAAAAGTCTGAAAATAGAACCATAAACATTAAAATATTTAATTAACTTTAGAACCGACTACATTTATATGTGACAATGTGGTGAAGCAGAAACGAATTTGTAAACAAATTTTTGACTCATTTCTTGGCTAAGAAATTTTGTTTAATTTTCCAACTTTTTGTACAGAATTGGTTAGAATTTAATGTCTCCTTCAAGACATATTCCGTATTGCACAAAAGGGAAAAACTAAAACCAAACATAAAAACAGGCGACACAAGTCTTACTTTCATAGTATCTGCGGAATACCAGGTCGCTCATTGCTAGTTTGATCATTTGAAGGAATAGGCATTAAATAGCAGTGACCATCCATAGATGTAGCATAGTTACATCTCACTTATATTCACTCCATATCTTTAGTTAATACAACAAAAATAACTGGACTATTCGTTGACCCTTTCCTATGGCATACTGAATTCGTAACCGGTATGTGTCTGCCGGAATCGACTGATAAATAAAACTAGTTGATTACTTGATATTGCTTGTATAATTCAATGCTGGTCAGCGCATTAGTCCGCAGAGTAGTTATCACTAGTTAATATTAAAATATCTTGATGTCAATAAGCTTGTGTACGTTCTTTACTAACAGCTTTTTGGTTCAGTTTTAAACAAACTTTCCGCCACGACAGTTTGTATCGTTTTCAACTGCAAACTTCTGATTCAGAGAGTTTATTTGGAAGATCCAAACAAATGATGCCTCAATCCTCAATTACCTCATCATCATTAAATTTCAGGCTCTGTAAATGTTTTTTGAAAGTTCCAAAAAACATTATGGCGTCACTTTCAACACCTCAAATTTCATAAGATTTACTGGAAATATAAGATGAACCTTCAAAGCCTTATTGAGTACATTTGTCAAATCTAAGCTTAAGTATGCTTCTTTGGTTTAGGAACCTATTTATACTAGTCAGTCAGCTGTTGTTAAGAATTTTTTAATGAATATCGAGCCATTTTTATCATATTATGTTGTATAAATTCACCTTTTTTCTTGGAAATGCACCTATATAATGGCCATTGACATTTCAAAAGATGATCGACATAGATTTTTCAACAGAGAAGTGAATTTTGCATTTTTCGGTATCATATGATGATCCGTCTTTTTGATATACAGAAAACTCATTACAATACATGAAATAATATTTGCAAATGGAAAAGTTTTCTTATGAAAAACACCGGCTTTTTGGACAAGTGGATTAAGTGTACTCAAATTAGGGAAACTGTGTCAGAAAATTGGACACAAACAGTAACTCCTAAACATGACATTATCTGGGACATTTTTGCTCATACGGCAGTTATATATTTCTCTTATGCATCTGACTTGCGATATATTTTTTGAATTATAGAAACGACAGCCCAAGAAAACCGTTTCACAAACACAAGTAACTTAGTGAATTTTTTCAGATGTATCAACCCGTAAATACGCGTGAGCTGAACTATTATGACAGTAGTAACTAATACAAACAATAGAATGTTTGCAGAACTTTATTTTTATAATATAGAATACTACCAAATACTTACTTGACTATTATTTCCTATATTTAAAGGATTTTTCCTTGGTTACTACACAAAATTATTTTTGAAACCTTTTAACTTCTGTGGAGACCATCTGATTCAAATCTGACTTCCGCGCAATATTGGTAGATAGCTATTTTTTGAGATATAACAGAACATCTAATTTTTTAAATAGAACACCTATATATTTTTATTCATATTTTATATTATATTATTCATGGATAAAGTTATGAGATAATACGTCTACTTCGAATAATAAAGGATTTATAACCAAGAGGGTATACCACAACCAAGTCTATTGTACATTATTTTGGATATATTAGTGAGAGATTAGAGATAGAGATTAGAGAACCATCAATCCTTGACCCGCAGCATCTTGGGGATTATTCTATAATCATCTGATGGACACGTATAGACATGCTTGGTACAGATTTGTTACAGCCACATTCGATGTAATACACGGTACCTCTTTTAAAGCAATTCCTATTATTGTGTTACTATATTCAAGTACACACCTAACAAAACTGTGTTAAGGGCCCCATATTCTTTAAACAGTGTTTTCCGCAAAGACAAATAATTTCAAACATTTAATAACTGAATAATCTAAAGCTTATCAAATAATAGGAATGTTATGTCATGCCACCTGAGTATTTTCAAAGACGCCGCAGTAAAACGGATAAACAGGTGCAAAAAACGATCAAACCCTCAAGGTTTTAGGTACTGAAATAATACTAACTTTTTTAGACATAACTCCACATGTAAATATTCCTATAACATTTACTTGCTTAGACCTACATATAAAATTGTTTACTTTTATTTATAAGTACGTGAAAATAAAATCTTAAAATGTGGGGTTAAGATAACAGAAAACGCATGTTTTACAAACGCTTTTTTTAGTTATTATTTTATTCGGGTAAATTTAAATGGTAAAAATGAATAAACAAAACATCAAGGATTTTATTTTTGTGCTTACTTTTGTTCTACACATTCTACTTTTAAAGATTTCAGTACCTAAAAATGCCAGAAATTTCACCATTTCTCGGCCAGGGATATGGCCACCTTAATAGTAAAGTCATGTTGACTCAATATTATATTAATATAGACAATATGCTGACTTAGATCATTATATTAGTACTATTAATTTTCAAGAGCAAATATATAGCAACTCAATTTTTTTCTTTTCAGGACTGGGTGGACTGATGCCGGGCCCGTCAGGAATGCACAACAGTGACAATTTCGGTAAGTTCCTTCAGTATTCCCATATATCCGAGAAAGTCAAACATTTTAATCTGCAAACTTAAAATTTACCGCCCCTCCCGTCCCGCGTTTCGCAGCACAATGTCCATTTTTACACGTTCGTAGCCAACTAAACAAACAACCCAAAAAGGGGGACGATGAAAAAACAAGATGACATCTGCCAGTCCGGCCAGACAATACCCTAGTTGCGAAAAGTTTTTTTATTAAATATTTCATTTCCATCAGAGGACGTCGGTGCAATTCTGACAATGCCTCGTGCAATATGTCACATGACTGGCCGGCGGGGCTGGGGTCCGCAGGACCGGGCATTATATGAAATATGAAAGTGACAGCACAATTGTGTACGCGATGGTTTTTATAAGCGGGAGCGCTTGAAACGAAAACTTCTATTATTTAAGCGATACTGTCTCCCGTCTTTCTGAAGTATCAAAACATTTCGTTTCGCAGTAACTATTCTCACGTGTGACATTGTCATCTTCCCGGCGTCTATATCTATTAAAAAGGCCCTATGTCTCTATTATGTCACATACTACTTCATGACAGTGGATAATAAATACTGTGCATTTAATATTACACAGGGTGTAACACAACTTCCAAGGTTTCTGAGGAGCGTATGCATATATATTTGGATAGACCGTTTCCAAAGAAACCTTTTACGCTTTACAAGTACTAGTAAAAATCGACATTTGAAAAATTTGCAGCCTGACATATCAGTGATTATAAAATATTGGAATGATGCTTAATTTCGTAGAATTTTTGATTTCCATGACCTTGGACGTCAATTGCTAGACATTTGTTAAAATAATTTTAATGCTATACTTTTGATTAGTTGCAAAAGAAAATAGAGTGTCAAGTAGAAGAAAAGGAGCATTTTCGACATATTCTTTCGCGTTCAATATAGAAGTTAAGTTCAATTAAGCATTTGTGCCGTTTACGGAGAGAATAGTACCGAGGTACAGCAAGAAAATGGCTTTCTCATTATAAAGATTGACATACTAACATGAACGATTCTCCAGGAAAACCATCTGACTTTGATGAAGATCGTTGGAAGGCTTTAATTCATTGTAATCCACGTCATTCACTCCAGAGATTATCAAGGGCAACATTCAAAGACTGGAGAGATGGGTGGTACATGTGTTGACGGAAAAAAATCACGATATCAACATCTTTTTCCCCCCAGATTGCTATTAGTGACGAAAAATTGTGCTTTTACCTCAGCGCCAACACCAAATAGAAATAGCTGAGCTTTAACTGAAAGATATCTCCTCAAGCAAAAGTTGGTATCTATCCACGTCAGCTAACAATTGCTTCTGAGGAATGTAGTCATCACTGCTGAGGTTTATTGCCAACAACGCCGTCATTCTTACGATCTTGCTCCATCAGACATCTTCCACTCTCTATCAAATAACCTTCGTAAATCTCCTTTAAAGATGAGATCGTAATTGGCTTGCAGAAACCACTTTCAATTCATAAAATTCTTCAGGGGTGAAATAGAAAAGCTCCCAGATCGTTGGAAAGCAATAATAAACAATGGAGAAAAATATATCTTGTAGTTGTAGTAGTAGATCCATTTTATTTATTAGTTGATCTATTTTGTTTATTCAATAAACATAAATTTTAAATTCAACAAAAACACTACGAATTTATGCATCAACCCAATCTTTTAAATAGTTTGTACAGGGCTCTTCATGATAAGTGGCCTATTAATCGTTTAGGAGAAACCAAATTTGACTCTGAAATTTTGTTTCCGGGGGTTATCAGATAAAACGTCGATTATCTCCAAAACGGTTAGATTTACGTAGAGGGAAGCTTTAACATTTTTGACTTATTTTTATTCTTGTCGATAATGTAATAATATATAGGATGTTCCATTTAAAATAACGAAATTGACGACTACTTCCGGTATAATCAGAAGTGCTTCATTGAGAGCATTATTTTAATTGAACAGGTCTTATCTGATAACCCCAGTTAACAAAATTTCAGGGTCATATTATCTTTGATTTCTCTGAAACTTTTAATAGGCCACTTACCGTGAAGAACGTATATCATTTAAAATACAAAGCGACGTAATAATTAACCACAGTTTCAAACGAGTCAACTTGTTGTCAAACAATTGTTTATTAATTTAAACGAAACATTATTCGTTGAAATGATTAAGTGGGATTGTGCTCTTGCTATGCTTGCTGAGTTAAATTATGCTTCCTCCAGTCTATTTTCTTCATTTAGATTTTCTTCTGTTTCCAAAATTTAAAAAATTCCTTAGTAGCCGACAATTTTGGACATATGAAGGACTGATAAATACAGTATTTTGAACACCTTGAAGAAATTAATTTCCGAAAGGGCATAAAAAAGCTGAAACATCATTATGTGCACAAAAGTTCAGAGAGCATATTGAAGAGTGAAAGTAAAATAGACACTAATTATGATTTTTTTAAATTGCTGTCGTATTATTACGAGAATGGTTATAAAAAAATACTTAGATGGACGCCAATTTCTTTCTCTTATTATTCAGCAACTCCAGTCATTTGATTTTGCAAGGTTAATCCATTTTGATGATAAGTCCATACTTATGTGAAACATTAAGTTACATTGTTCATAAGGCTGTCGTGATTTTTTTTTAACTACCTATACCTACATGTTCGAAAGACGTCAACAAAGTCATGAATGTCAAATAGCTTTGTTAACAGTTATATCCCTCAAATCCCTTCTATCTTTGACATCCCTGACAGCATTTGGTTCAAATTTTACATTTAGTCAGCTACAGCTGTGCACAAAAAATGTTTCCGACTTAAAACATTTAAAAAATTAATAAGGTCGTGTTTTTTAAAGAACCATATACAGTTTAGTTTGGAAAAATTTGATTATCTACGCTACGAAGGAATTATACTCTAACAAGTTTGAGGTCTACATCTTCAATGAGTCTTAAATAGTAATTATAAAAGTAATTTTCGCTTCATTTGTTTTCATATTTATTTCTTACACTTTGTTGAATTATCATTGGTATGCTATGTCTATATGTATTTTTTATTTATTTATCTATTTCTCAACAGATATATAATTAAAACAAATTCCGCGTATAAGACGCAGATATAAGAAATTAAATATGATGGTATTGGCGGGAAAATATATATATACAAATTCTATTGAACTAGTTTTATTTTAAGAAGTAATTTGGAATGATCTCAAATAGATATTATGTATTTTACAGATAGCTTACAGTATAAATTGCTGAAAAAACATTTTATGTTTACTACTAAACAAGTTTTGTGAAAGGATTTATTAGTTTTTGGTTTATCTCCACTTTCTCTTACAGGATGTATCTAAATTGGGTATCTAACTACAAATTTTGAAAACTTATTTATCTTTTGCCACTATTTTACATTTGTAGATACCCATTATATTTATTAAATAATATATTTTCCTCTAATATTTCTTAACTAATGTTTACCAGTCGTAAAAAATGTTTAAAATAAAATCTTGATACATTTTAAATACATCACAAAGTTAATCCCTAATCATACCTAATATTATGAGATTCTGTTTGAACTTTTAAAATTATGTTAGCTAGTCATAATATATTATGTACATACTAAAATGGGTATTTACTTTTCTTCCACTTTAACTAACTCTATCGCCAAATCTGGCATCGGTATTATATTACTAGAGAGCGAATGAACGCGGACTGTCTCGGCCGAAACGGCCATTATCCGAATTAGAAAAAGCGATGAAACAGTTTTTTATAGAGAGAACAAGGGAATTTTGTGGTAGCATACGCCCTAGAAAAAGGCTCTGCGCTAAGCTGCTTATCGAAGCGTATTTTCTTTTAATCCCTAAACCATTTACCATTTTATCGGAAAAAAGTCTTTTAGGCGCAAATTAAACTAATTAAAAAAGGGAGCTTATTATTTTCTGGGAGTCGATCATCCAAAGGGACAGGGTCTCGCCATTTTTGAACCGGTGTCACAATCAAAAGAGTTCTTGATGTTAGTTATTAAGAATTCTTTATGTATGATAACGGGTAACTTGTGGATCTATTTAGGGAAATACTAGGATTCATATGCATAATGTTTCAAGCCTTCATTGTAAAGAATATTTAGCTCCAGAATTTTCTTGAAACTTCAAATCTAATCTTTAAGTCTGTAAGTTCGTTTGCTTAAATCTATGAAAAAAACTGTTGTGTTAGTGTAATTTATTAGCTGCAATTCATTCCGAAAACCTTGCTCAGAAATATACTATTTTAAATTATTCAGATTATTACTTATATTTATTATTATTATTCACATAAATCAGAAACAATAATGGCCCGTCGACGGAACCTTGTGGCAGCTTTAGAGAAACTTTGAGCAATGTCAATGATATATCATTATCTATTGCATATAAAGGTTGAATGCCATATTGATATACAACTTTTGAATAAGAACATCATGTTACATACAATCGATGGCTTTTAACAGATTGCACTTCCAACAAATCTTCTTCTCAAAGCTTCTGTTATTATCTAAACCACAGCACCAGTTGCATTGGTTTATTTATTTTGATTTATCACAGTCAAAACCATACCAACAACTCGAAAAAGTATTAAATTAGAGCACTGAATTATTTATTGAAATTACTTGCATGTTATTAACTTTTTTTAATCCCTTAGTTTGATGTAAAGTAGCAGAACAACTACAGATCAATTGATAAAAAGTGAATTTAGACAAAACTTGCCATATCTATTCAAATTTGTGTTAGGACATTACCAAAGTATCGAATAACGACATTAAAAATAACTTATAGGTATAATTTTGTTGATAACCAACACCATTTACGAATTTGTTTGATTCAAAATTACTAAAATCATATTAAGTGGGGACATTTTTCAAAAATAGAAATGTATTTCTGAATGTTTCAAACAAATTTAGTTGAAAATTGAATTTATTGACGTGGTACACTGCATTTTAAATGTAATTGCAATAATTGGATTTTAAGTGGATGTATCT